CATCTATTTTCCCCTTATTTATCTCTTAGCCTTTCCCCTACAGGGAAATAATACAAATTATTTATAATTATTTTTGTATATTTATAATTATATGATATATAATTATATAAACTATGCATTTGAATCACCACCCAAAAACTCATGCTAGGAAAATCAGAATGTTTTTAAAGGAATGATGAGGACAGAGCAGATTCTCTGTTTCCACATTCAAGTCTCTAGAGGTATGATGGGAGGTGTGGTGGAAGGGGACTTTCTGAACATACCAGCTTTCCCACAGAAACAGTAAGAGCTGAAAATTCATTATTGACTTTCGTGTACAAAGTGCCAGATATAGATATAGATAGACATACAAATATAGTTATAGTTATATGTTAGGTTGTGAATCATAAGAACATGGCCAAATTTTTAGGTTTCAAAAAGTTGAACCTTAACTGTTTTCATCTGGTAAAGCCTAAAGATATTTTGCTTTACTCCATATACTAACTTTTTCATACATAATACATTTAGCAAAACTGGGGGAGGTTCTAAAAGTTTAAATAACCTGTGAAATATCACATGGGTGCTAAGAAAATAAACCAATCTAATAACAGCATTTTATTCAATTCCAAAAACCCCATCCACTATCTCTGTTATACAATGGTTTATCTAATTAAGAATGTCTTATTTTGCATACTTTGGGAAACACTTCCTCCTATGGTCAGTGTCATTTCTGCACTATTTTTTATTAGAGAATCTTATTGGAATGAAACATTTAGATTCTAAACAGTCTTTGTGAATGCAACCTCTTGAAGTTAGACACTCTCTTGTGGGAGTGCCTTTCCCTGGCTGCAGTGTGTAGACTATCCCTATGAAATCTTTCCTAAGCTGAAATGGCATAAAATGAAGAAATAATCACCATTAATTTATATGGGAAAAATTTTGTGCATTCCCAGAATGAAAAATTAATCTACCAAGTCATACCAAGTAACACGTAAAAGCTAAAGTAATACTAATAACATAGTAAAAGCAGGAATGACAAGATACACACACAGCCTATATAAAGTAGTTCCTGGGAGGAAGTTGTTGTACCACTTGTGGCTGGGTGGGGTGCATGCCGAACCGCTGCTGTAAAACTAACACTCATCACTATTTCTGCCTTTTACTTCTTGTAAAAGTAAAAATACTCTTTGGATTTCTCTCATTAGTGAAAACAGGTGTGCATGTAGGTCTTTCATAAAAATGAAGTGGTGTCAGGCAAACTTTTGAAAAATGGGGAATACTTTTTTATGGACCCTGACAAATGAGTCCAAATAATAATAAAGTCAAGTCAAGAAAAAAGTACAAAAACATTTAAAATATATTGGCCACGGATTCTGAAAACATAGTCCTGCCTGATATGAGATAATGTGATTATATCATAGACCTGCATCCTGCCTGCTGGGACTCAAATGAAGTGATCACCTCATTTAGGCAAAATGGTGTCTGTAGCTATCTAGGCTATATGGTGTTCAGAAAGAAAGGAGAGACATCCAAGCTGCAGACAACAGAAATGAGATTCGAATCTGAGAATAGACAGGGGCTGAGGGCCCATAATATATATATAGTTCTTAATATAAAAAAAGAACATGTTTGGGGGATTGGGGTCAGTTTTTAACTGTAGGCAGAAGGCCAGTTTGATATAACTTCATTAGGAAAGGGTAATGTCCTGTTCATCTTTGAATTCCGAGTAAAATGACTGGTTCATAACGGGTGCTTAATACAAGGATGATGAATTGAATTGGTTTCTAGGCAGCAAACTATTCGTGACAGCAGAGGTTCAAACTTAACTATGTTGAATATTATGTTCCAGAGACATGGTGAGATATGAGGGAAAGAGAAGAATTAGAAATCAAGTGTCAACTAGTTCATGTATCTGGTCCTTATTCCACATGCATTTACATTGAATAAAAATGTCATGAAAACAGAGAAATAGAAAATCTAGCTTCTTACTGTTATAACTGAATTTCGGTGGAAGTTACAGTGCTGGCTTAAAAGAAATATTTGTAGTGTCAGTTCTCAGAAAGAAGGAATTACTTATTTAGATAATATAGTACTTAAGATTATTTAAAGGCAAAATTTTGATTCATGTCATAATCTAAGGCCAAGTTACAGTTCTCAAAAATGTTACCGTGAGCAGAGATAAACCAGATCTGATAAAAGTTTGAAGTTGGATTTGAAGAAAAAAGTTCTATGGAGAGAAAATCTAGATCTGAAAAAAAACATATCAAGCAAGATTGTAGATTATTTTAGGGAGCAAAGTATTGCTCCTTAAGATGTAAACTTTAGTTTGTAAGAAAATTTTCTAAGGTTACATATAGTTCTGGTTTTATGCCTGTGTATGTATGTACACACATATATATGTGCACACATATATTATGCATATATAATCATATATATATGATATATAATCATATATAATCAATTATATACATATATATTTGTTCTTTAAAAGAAACATGGTTTTAGCAAATTAAAGCAAGGTTTTTTTCCCCCCATAACCAAATGTATATTCCTGTGTTGCGTGGAGTTCCTATAAAAGAGATGCACATCAATAGTTTCTGCTACCAAGGTTGTCATCTTGTGCTATAGCAAAACAACTCAGACATGACAACAGGGGGAAAGAATGAGCGACTGATAATTTGACAAGACCGGAGTGTCTCAAACAATACAGGTAGAATTTATCCTTATACTTATTTTCTTAAGAACATAATCATTTCAGTTTAAGCTGTGTCCACCTCTTATCTCAGCTTAGAAGTAGAAGAAGAAATACAAGAAGTCATAAGATTTCACTTAAAAGAATAACCTCTCTCCAGGATTTTGCCAGGACTGAAAAAACATTTAAAGAATGTCTTCCCAAAATCACTAGCTGTATAGACAGCTGTGTTCCTATAGAAATTTTACCATTTCATTTCTTGGCAATATTTTTTGAGGCATTTAGGATGAGAAGTAATCCCATGACTCTGGTAGCTAAGAAGGGCACTTCAACCCATTTCCAGGCTCTCCCATCCACTGTGATACATTCTGTATAGGAGAAGAAAAAGAAAATAAATTCCCAGGTGTCCTGATATGGGGCATAGACATACGTGTGTGTGTGTCCATATGTGTGCACTTCAATTAAGATAACTATTCTTTCTCCTGTTAAAAATTCACTTTCATTTACCTTTCATCTCCGTGAAATTCAAATTTTTCACAGAATATACAGAATATATAAGTTAAAGTGTTGAAAGCACAAACCAGTACAAATTACTTAGAATAAGAGACAGTCACTGGACCCTCTTTAGCTAAATAAATATACAAGGTATTAAAATACAGAAGCCATTAGAGCAAATCGAGTGAAATGTCTGCTTATTAAGGGAAAAAAATACATATTGTATGAGAAAGTCATTGCCTAGAAAGCAATATATAAATGTGTATTAAAAGTATTTGTTCTTGTTATTCATCCCTACATTAGCATATTTGAAACTACTTTGTATTCATTCTATATGGGTAGTGTACCTGTTACTTCAGGTAGGAATTCTAATACTACTTGCTTTTTATAAGTAAATTTCTTTCTTTGTAGCAAAATTGCCTAAATTGTTTTAGGTTCTTCAAAATTCATGTTGTATTACATTTCATTTTGGTCATTTCTACACAAAAGAGTGAATTTCAAGACACGAAAGATCAGTATTTTGCAATGTAACAATTGAATATTGAAAGAGTTATGTCCTAACATCAAAAGGTCAGATTGTAGAAAAGACTATAAAAATGTGAGAAATATGTCCATGGTTCTCTGTGAAGCCTGTGGGATTCTGGATGAAACATTATTTTTCATTTTGTAAAAACTTATTTTGCATGAAAGTAAGTGATTATTGCAGACAAGAGTTTTCAAATGAGAAAAAATAATTTTAAGCAATATTTAAATTTAAGAAGAATTTTCTTTAAAAGACTTATTTATTTATACAAGAACTGGGATACAAGCCAGAGGCATGGGAGGGTGAGAAAATTCACCAGAGACAGAGCTGGAGCGGAACAGGCAGACAGACGACTGAAAACACTGCTGAGGGGAGCAGTGGGTGAGACAGAAGAGGTCTGTGGCGCCATGTGGGTATCTCCCTGGCCAGCTGGGAATCAAACCCTTGCCGCAGAGGCTGCGGACAGCTTCACACTACTGTGCTCAACACGCTGCGCCACCGGAGAGGCCCCTAAATTTAAGAAGAATTTTAACAAATAAAAGCTATATCCTTTAATTATATACCTATGTATAATTGAATGTAGCTATATATATGTGTGTGGGTATGTATATATATATATATATATATATATATATATATATGTATGTATGTATATCTCTACACATACACACATATACACAGAGAGAGACAGATTTTTTGTTCAGGTCAGGTAGCTCTCAGATTATACAATTTTATTTGTTTCATCAGGTGAAATCAGTTTATACTTCTTTTTCTACAGAAAGATAAACAGGAAGCAAAATATAAATATATGCAGATAAGTAAATAACTGAAAGGGGAATTTAACCCCTGTATATGTTATCTATCAACACTGCATGTTCATTCTTTAATTATTTAGTGTTTGGGTATTATCCAGCTTGACCATAAGTTACTTAATAAAATATAACAATTAGGAAGCCCTCTGAATTGCATCCAAGTAGGACTATGTGGTAGACATGGTGATGTGATACCCAGATTGTTCTGGAAGGAAATATTTGATGCCTAGCTTTTGGGAGGAAAGTCAGCAGACTGCCCCCAGCTAATAGTTCCTTCTGCAGAGGATGGCCTTATTTGAGGCACACTCTTCTTAGGGAAATCCACATGTGGTGGCTGAGTCAGGCAAGAGTTTAAATACCTGACTATTCTGGCCCCAAACTGGACACTGATGAGCAAGTGTTGTTCTGGGGCTCCCCACCGGGGTAGCCAAGTCTGTCAGGTCTGCATCTTATTTTGACTTCTTCCTCAGCCTGATCTTTCTTCTATCTCTCTTAACAGATGTTAATTCCTCCTATCTTATATCACAATTTTGCCTCACATCTGCTTCTGGAAAACTCAATCAGCAACAGTTGGCACCAGGAGTGATCTGAGAAAGGAGGCAATAAGATAGTGTTTTGGAACCAAATCACTCACCGCTCAACTTCCTGTGAAGATTGCTGGTGGCAAGAGGACTATGGTGAGTTTTCAGCACAAGGTACTTATTAAATTGTTAAAACTTTGAGGGGAATTAGGAGGATGTAGTGGAAGAGACTGTCCTAGCAGACGCAGTATAGTAGATATGTGGTACTTATGGAAAAAATATTAAATATAAGGATAAGGGAGCCTAGAAAATGTGCTCAGCATCATTAGTCATTAAGGAAATTAAAATGAAAACCACAATGAGTCCAATTAATTCCAGTCGGATGGCTATAGTGAAGAGGACAGGCAATAATAAGTGTTGGCAGGGATATGGAGGCACTGGAAACCTTATAATTGCTGGTGTAAATGTACAAAAACCCACTCTCTTTGGAAAACAGTTCCTCAAAAATTTACTCATAGAGTCACTATTTGATCTTGAAATTCCACTCCTAGATATATACCTAACATATATGACATAATATGTCTACACAGAAACTTGTACAGAAATGTTACTACCGGCATTATTCATATACCAAAAGTGGATCAAGCTAAATTTCCATCAGCTGATGAGTGGCTACAGTGTGACATGTCCATGCAATTGAATATTACTCAAGATTAAAAGAAAAGAAGTACTAATACGTGAATCTTGAGAAAATTATGCTAAGTGAAAGAAGCCAATCACATCCACATATTATATTACCCTATTCATATCAAATATCTAGAATAGACAAATTTACAAAGATAGAAAGTTAATTGATGCTTGTTAGGGCTGGGGTAGGAGGTAGGAGCTGGTGGGCTGATGCTGATTAATATGTGGTTCTTTTGGGAGGACAAAAATACTATGAAGTTATGTCATGATGATGGTTGCATAACACTGAATATACTAAACACTGTGGATTGTAGTCTTTAAATGATACAGGAATTATGTCTCAATAAAACTGTTCAAAGATTATATCCACCTGACCTGGGAAAGTGGGGTTTCTCTTGTGGGGAAAAAGAGTAACACGGTTGCACTACAAAATAACAAGAGGTTGAGGGAGAGAAGCAGACCACTGAAAGGCAGGTGTGAGGATCCATGAATTTCTTTATTAGTGTATAAAGAAGCAAGAGGTGGCTAGTTCATAGAGACCTCGGAAAGATATATATGCTCCAGAGAAAGGTGATAACCCCCTAGAGATTTAGGATCAGCCACAACCTTAAAATTGTAAAAGTTCTCTGGTCAAGTACGTGGAATATTCCCACCAAAGTAAAAGATAAATGAGTTTCTTCAGGTTCTAAAAGCAGCGATTTCCACACGTTGGAATATTAGTCCAATCGTAGTCCTGTGTGATTTGAAAGGCCGCCAGCTTTAAACAGGAACCAGAGACTAATAGGCAGTTCTTTGCCTCTGTGCAAGCAGCCTTTCTGCTTAGACCATAAGCTTTGGTAGGCACCATCCTGCTGGAAATATCAACGGTGGGAAAAGATTCTGTGTGAAAATTGTGGTGAGTCCTAGTAAGAGTGTCACTATATGGGCTCTTGGGGTTCTGGAACAAAGCCTTGCCATGAGCAACAAGTGACTATATTCCTCTAGAAAAACATCTGGTGTGTTACTGGCCTCTCACAGAGATGGAATAATTGCCCATAAGACACCGAATGAGGGGCTTCCCTGGTGGCACAGGGGTTAAAGACACAGTGCTATGAAGCTATCACCAGCCACTGTGTCTTGAGTTCGAGTCCCAGCCAGGGAACTGACCCACATGGCGCAAAAGGCCTCTCCTGTCTCACCTGCTGCTCCCCTCAGCAGTGTGTTTCAGTAGATCCACCTTTACTGCTCCCCTCTCTATTGCTGGTGTATCCTCTCATCCCCACCCCCCCACACACACACCTCTGGCCTATGCCCTAGTTTTTGTATGCATAAATAAATAAAATAAATATTAAAAAAAAGACACTAAGTGCTATGTGGCCAGAACTGCTCATCATGAGTTAAAGCATGTGAGAACCACAAAATCATAAGACTGGAAAAGTCCAGCAAATTCCAGTGTAAGATCACAGTGGTAAATCAGGATCCAGCATAAATAAGAGAAGTGGGCACGGGAAGCTGTATGACAGGTAGCCCATCCCACTCACATGCTATGGCTACGTGGGAGAATTCTATGCTATGAGCACAAGGAGGAGGGGGAAAATTCAAGAATGTTTTACACAAGGATTGGTATAATATGTGGGCACAAGTTGAGAAGTGGATGGGAGCTGAATTATAGCCTCACACAACAATGACCTTATTGGGCAGTTATAAAAAATGTATATTATAAAATCCACCCAATAGACTGAACTTATGGCAATTCACCTGGTCATCTTTTTAGTGTTGGAAGAGAAATATCCCAAGTTTAAATATAGACAGATTCATGGAGAGTGTCAAGTAGCCTAGCCAATGTGTTAGGGGTCTATTAGGAGAGAGGTTGAAATGTTCGGAAAAAGTTTTGGATGTACGTAGAAGAGTGGACATAAAGTGTGAGTAGAAGGGCTAATTATCACATGCAAATACCCAACTGCAGCCATGGTGGAGGCACTAAAGAGAGGGCAGACAGTGACCTATGCAGCCAGAGATATCAGCCAGCCTTTGTCATCAGCCATCCCAGTGCTGAAGTGATACAGCCATGGTGACAGAGGTGGGCATGTCGGCCACGCCGGGACCCTTCTAGCCTAGAAAAGCAAGTGCTCATTTTCATAAGAACAGTTAGGGCCTCAGGCCTCCCCGGTGGCACAGCGGTTGAGCGCTGGGTTGAGAAGCTGCCGACAGCCTCTGCAGCGCCCCTCAGCAGTGTACTTCGTCAGTCTGCCTGCTCTGTTTTCCGCTCTGGCTCTGGTGAATTCTCTCACCCTCCCGCACTTCTGACTGTACCCAGTGCTTGTATAAATAAATAGATAAATCTAAAAAAAAATAGCTAGGGCCTCATCCAGAACCTTTTCCAAGGACTTAAATAGTGTTTGATCTATTGGTATGCAATGCACGGAACGTGGTGGTGGTGGCAGACCAGGGGTCGTCTTTTACAGCAAAGGTAATGTGAGAATGGGCTCCTCATCATGGGAACCACTGGTCATATTATGTATTTTATGATTCAGAATGTCTGCTCCTGATAGAGTGTTGGAACAACCCATGAAGGCATAGCTGAAGCACCAGCTTGAAAGCAATGCTTCAGCCCTCAGGATTTTGTATATGCCCTAAATCAACAATCGTTATATGATATTGTGCTCTGATTAGGTAGCATACTGGGAACCAAGGAGTGGAATCAGGAATTTGCATTCATTTATCTTTATTCCTAGTGACCCAGAGGGGTCTTTTGTGCTCCCTATTTCTGCAACTCTTCTCAAAAGAGGGCACAGTTTCCCCAGGGACACATCAGAGTCCCTGTGAATTATAAGGTACCTGTTGTAGCAGGAGTAACTTACTCTGATCATGAGGAGAATGTTCATTCGGCTGCTTACATGTGGGAGTACAGAGAAATGTCGTGTGAACCCAAGTGATTCATTTGAATGTTTTCTTTGTATCCTCTTACCCAATGATGACTCCAAAGAGACAGGTGTGGACACCCTGTTAGAAGGTCAGAGTGACCAGATACTCAGGGGTGAGGGTCTGCATCACGTCAGCAGGTAAACCACTCTTGCCAACATACGTGGTAACTGATGGTAGGATTATCTAGAGTGACAGTGGAGGAGGGAAATGAATAGCAATTACGGCCCGGAGCTCAGTTGCAGCACCAGGGACTATAGGTTATTTTCACTAACCTCTTTCTTCCAAGTTTCCCCTCTTAAAGATTTGTACACTCGAATTTTGCAGGAGCTGTTCCTCAAACCCTCGTAGAGATATGGATGTAGGTGGCATGGGGTGTGGGGGCTGTGGTTGATAGGGGGATCCACCTGCCAGATCCATTTCTTTTTTTAAAAAGATTTATTTATACAAGCACTGGGTACAGTCAGAAGCGCGGGAGGGTGAGAGAATTCACCAGAGCCAGAGCAGGGAACAGAACAGGCAGATCGTCGAAGTACACTGCTGAGGGGAGCAGTGGGCGCGGCAGGAGAGGTCTGTCGTGCCATGTGGGACCCTCGCCGGTAGCCGGGGATCGAACCACCACTGCAGAGGCTGCAGGCAGCTTTGCAGCCCAGTGCTCAAGTGCTGAGCCACCAGGGGAGGCCCCTGGATCCATTTCTAAGGAAGCTGCGGGGTGTCTGCTGCTGTCAGCCTCTCAGGGTCTCAGCTTCAAAGAACCTCCCCATCAGAGACCACATACTCCCCAGAATAGGCCACACCTCTCACTGAGCAAAACAAGATTATAAAGGCCCAGCCACTACAGCCCAAACATGAGATGTTCTGAAAGGCATTACTCACTCCAGAGCTTCCTGCATCACAGTTCAATTGCTTCCACTCCTCTTCTCTAATAACTATTTTGTCTCCAAACTGTCTCAGACATTGGTCCTGGAAAATCCAACCTGGGACAACAAATTTAATAGCAATTTTAATTCAGAGTCAGAAATACTTGTAGTAATGTTTACCATTATATTCCCTTCGATTGGTGAAATACTCTCCCAGAATATGCAAATCTGATCATTACTTATTCTAAATTAATCGTTAAAAGAGGCATTTTTAGGAATTGCAACATTTCCAAAGCTAAACATTCCAGTATTCACAGTTGTACTCTCCTTGAGTTGCCACAAACGACATTGAAACTTGTTTGGTAACAAGATAAATCTAACAAAAATTACTTATACTATTTTGGTCAATCAGGTTAATGGAAGTATCTTTGGAACAGAATTTGAGTGTTTGCTTTTTTTTTATTTTACTACTTTTATTCTTTTCTATACCTTAGAATGGAACACTTAGAAATACTTCAAGATCACTTTCTTGTACAATTCAAAAATAAGATTGGCATTTCAGTTTGTTGTGTCTTTTAATTGTTTTCTATACTACTGATTTGAAAACTTGAAAATATTCAAAAGCATTTAGCAAGTGGAAAATAGCACCAAGTTAATGTATTTGGGCCTGAGTATTTTCAGAGATAAGACAAACTTAATATTGGTTTT